CAAATTCAAAACCAAATTATATTCAAAAAGAAAACAAATTCATACACACAACAACATATTCAGAAAAACACACAACATATTCAATACCAAATTATACTGAAAAACAAAAAATAATAATAAACACAACAATATATTCAAAAACACAATGACATTAACTTGAAACGAACATTAATTACAATCACAATTACATTAAACTACTGGAAGATGTAGATATTAGTGGGATGCTTGAGCTCTTGCTGTTTGGATGACGGAGATGTTTGGCTTTTAAACCTGAAGTCACTCATTTATAAAGAAAAGGCAGAATATGTTGTCCATTTTCTGAATATGTTTTTGTGGGTTTTTTTATTTGTATTTTTTTTTCCCAAGTTAATATAATTGTATGTTTTGAGCTGTTGCTGAGTTTTTGGATATGATATTACAGTTTTAAAAATCTTGCTGTGTTTTTTAATTTGTAGGTTTGTCTAAAGATTTGTTGATGCGGTTTGCACTTCAGGGCGACTGTTACATATCTAACAGTATTTTCCAAACAATAAAAAATAATCTTGCCAAAACTCATGTTGCAAATGTATTATTCTAGTAGCCTGGCTGACATCTAGTGGGTATCTGATGTTACTACACACATATGACGCTGATATCTGACATATGTGACACTGCCCACTACCCTGAGACTTCTGAAACTGATGTATAACCAGATGGGAGAGAAATGTACATTATTCCATTAGCAAATAAGGAGATTACAAATTTTAGAAAAATCAAACTTTAATAGAAACAAATTCGACCCAATCGTTTTTCTAAATCGTTAGAGCTATTTAACCACTAAAAGTTACTTAAAGGGCTTAAAAAAACTCTTATTTGTAATCCACTGCCTTTTCTTTTTCTGTGTTATAACTACAATACGAAAGTCCATTCCTTAAACTAAACTCTTGGGTTGGAAAGGGAAAAACTGCAAACTCAGACAGACACATGATAAGCCCCTTATGACCCTATAGCAACCATAAGATTGCATCCTTTCAACTGATTGTTTAAGAATGATGCCAGGCAGATGCAAACAAGTAAACAAGAATAATGAGAATAATAGATTTATGCATCAACTACTCCTTTAACTATAATCAAAGTTTAACCACGTGATCTCCAACTTAAGCATCAGATGCCAAATTTACAGACTAATAACTGCTCACATTGTCCACAGTGGGGAGTCTACTCCCTTGTAACTGATTATAAAAATGAGCAAAAATAAACATGATTGGGACATAACTATAGAAAACTTTATTTCTGTCAAGAATTTATGCTGCCCACTGATACACTGGTCCCCTGGGCAATATGCCACATTACCTGTATCGACAATCATAAACTGTCCCTCATATACCATTGTTATTTATTTTATTTTTATTTATTTTATATACTCTAATAATTCCAGAGGGAAATTACTTCTCTGCATCTAAACCATCCCCTTGGGGATTTTGCAGCGCCCAGGGGGTAGTGTGGGGTTAAGGGTCTTGCTCAGGGACCCAGAGTGGCAGTCTGTGGGAGTGGGGGATTGAACTCTCAACCTCAGGATTCAAAGCCTTATGCCCTAACCTCAATGGCCACCACTCTCCAAGTTAGTGTCACAAGCTAGTCACCCATGGCCATATTTTGCCTGAGCGTACCCACCAAAAGTGGGTACCTACTCTTTGACTGGATTCACAGGGCCTTTTTTATATATATATAAAAGCACAGGGCTGCACCAAAAAGGGGAGTACAGATTCAAATTTAAATTTATCATTCCCTTGCATCCTGAATTTTTTTTTTGATTCATATAAGTGTCTTCAACAGTATAAATAGACACACCTGCTCACTGTTAAAAATAATGAAACAGAATTATTGAATGTTATCACAATGCAAAATCTCTGCATTTTAATTAGTTGGGGTATAGCCCCGAACGACAAGTGCACTGCGGACAAGAAGAAAACAACAATAAAAAATAAATGATTCTAAAAAAAATACCTCACATGCTTTTATTCTGAAAGCGCAATGCAGCATGATGTCACTGGGCCACCCCCACCCTAAGCTACTCTAAGGCTGAATCCCAAACCGCGCCCTAACCACTAACCCTTAACTAGTAAGTTTCCCTCGCAATAAAGTCACGCTCACAGATGTGGAAGGTGCCCGGATTGTACGTGGGGGGTATAAACGTGAATAGGACTGCCTCTTCCCTCCAATGGAAATGGAAAGCAGTCGTTTCTATGTCAACACAGAGACGCTGCATGTGTGTGGTTGTAGCTCAGTGGTGCAGGTTAGCATAACATCAAATATTTGCCATTTTCTCTAAAATTAATATATCCATTCAAATCAAACTATTTCAAAGATGACTTTCCATTTAGGGATTAATGACGTCTTTTTTTATTTTTCCTAAAGTGTGATTTTCTGTCAGTGTGATGAAGACTCAGCAAACCAGCGGAACTTACATTTAAATGCACATTCACCAACTTGTCACTAGTTTGCCGTTACACCCACTGCCAAATTCCAGCGAGCCTGCACTGATGCAGACTCACTATTTGAGGCCTGAATGTTCCACTCGCCCTACCCACTACAGGGTTTGGGATGGCCCTTAATGTGGCAGACCCTCTGCGGGATCCCGCAAACAGAGGGTTTGTGCAAAAATTAAGATCTATAATTACAGTTATGACTAGTAGAAATGTACTTTTGACAAAGAACAATCCTAGCAATCTACAAAAGAACGACAGGAGAGCAGGCTTTGCCTAAATGCCAATACAGCCTTACATAGCCTGCGCTGTCAGAAACACTCTAGTTTAGAGATCTTTTTTTTTTTTTTTGATTTTTGCTGCACTAGTGGCATGTCATTGTGTAGTAATCTGACAGGAAAGTGGATAAGGGAGAGGCATGTGACAAAGGAACACAGGCTGGATTCGAACCAAGCTGGGCCACGTTGAGGACTAAAAGGCTTCCGTACATAGGTTGTGCACGCTAACCACTGTGCCTATGAGGTAAAACTGTCTGTTGGCAATGTTTTTATGAATATGGCTGGTTTAAAACAGCTTGTTGTTAGTTAACATTTGTATTTAGAAACCCTTTTGTTTGAGCTCATCTTAATCCTGGGATGGACACTCGTCCATTATTGAGCTGCTAACAGAGAAATGCTTCCCGGATAATAAACTATGGATCACAAATGATCTGAAGCAATTACTCAACAAGAAAAAACAAGCCTTTAAGAGGAGTGACATGGAATTAAAAAGGAGAATACAGAAGCAACTTTAAGATAGAGATAAGAGAAAGCAAGGAGGCATACAGGAACAGGCTGGAAAACAAACTCCAGTAGAACAATATCAGAGATGTGTGGTCAGGGAAGAAAAAGATCACAGTGTTCAAACAGGAAGACAATCAGACAGATGGAAGTCTGGACAGAGTCACTGAACTGAATACATTCTTCAACAGGTTCAGTTAAGGAACTAGTTCAGCATCTTTCTCTCCTGCCCATAGTCACATGGACATCCTGCCCTCCTCTGCCATTGATTCTTCTGCTATTAGTTTGTAATCAGCCACATCAGAAGAGGGTACTGCTCTCTCTAACTTTGATCTGTCTATCTCTAGAAGTCAAGCAAAGAGGCAACTGGAGACAGTGAATCATAATAAGTCACCAGGTCCTGATGGTGTCAGCCCCAGAGTCCTGAAAGCCTGTGCAGAGCAGATATGTGGGATTTTACAGCACCTCTTCAATCTTAATCTGACCCTGGAAGCAGTTCCAGTGACGTGGAAGACCTCCTGTCTTGTGAAGAAAATTATGAACAACAATGAGTGTGCTCTTCAGAAGATTTTTAAACAACAACAGAGTGTCTTCAGTTTGGCTGGCATCTTCAGATCGGGTGCAAGACAGACGGATACAGAAGATCCTTCCTGCCTACAGCTCTTAACACCTGTTAAAAAAAAATGTATAAGTTACTGCAACATTTAATTTCCCTTTGGGATTAATAAAGTAATTTCTGTGTCATTTGTTGAAAATATTTACGTATCAGAAAAGCCTGCTGCTTTTTATATATTTTGTCAGCCAAATCCCAATACTGTATATAACCATAACGCCCTGTCGTGATATTATTCAGTAACATTGAGGGTTTGAGGCAAAGACAGGAGCTGACCAACAGGTAAGAAAGAGTAACACATATCAGGAGATAGGGTTGCAAAGCAAAGGTTCGTTATTAAAAAAGATTCTCCATGCCACTATTTAAGCTGATCCTGGATAGAAAGCAGTGTTGATATAAAAAACATAATTTACAAATGTTGGACAGTTGGACATAAAATCTTCAAAGTATAAGTTTAGATTATTTGTAAAAACTTCCTTCTAAGATGAAACTAATCAGGGAGCAGTCTTTGTCTACAAGTCATTGGTTTCAAAAGTCGGCTGGGCCACCCAGGATCACTTGATGGTTTTGCAAACATAAAAAAACACCGTCCATCTGGATGGATGGATGGAAAAAAACAAAACACTGAAACACTAGATGTTATCTCATCACATAGCCCACTAGTATACAAATTCTTTTATCCCTTCCAATCTTGAGGACAAGCGGCAACAATGAATCCAGACTTGGCTTCTTTTACAGGGTCGGATTTCACTAGAAACAGAAACTCTCCATAGTGATACTCAAACAGGAGGGTCAACTACCATAATCATAGAAGCAACAAAAGGATGTCTTAGAATTTGAATACTATGCATGGTGTTGTAAATAGAGTTGTGCTGTACATTTAGCTCAAGTATATCTATAAGGAAAATTATTTTAATAGGAAGTTATTGAGACTTTAAAAACAAAAAAAGGCGAGCAGACTGGAAGGCATCAAGAAAAGTTTGTGGGACCTCTGCCTCTGTCTTGTATTAGGATCTTCACAAGGGGGTTGTTGTTTTAGCACTTTAACCAGAGGGCTGGGCGTGGGTGAAGTCAGTTGGTTGGCTGCTCGTCTTACTGAATGTCAAAAAAAGGAAAACAAAAAAAGGCTAAGAAAGGGGGCAGGGTTATGGGTTGAGAAACCTCTTCTTTTCAACTTAATACGTTCTCTACAAACACACCCGCATGTGGACACACAAAACAGATAACAGAGCCCAGCACACAAAGTCAGGATGTGACATCATTCACAGGAAGAGAAACCAAACACTTTTTTAACTCTTTTCTACGTTGTCCACACTGCTGAGCAAAGTCAAAGCCCTTCTCGGACTGCTGATCGACCATCAGAGTGGAAAAGATTCAGAAGAGAGGGAACAGCTGACTCTGACTCTCACAGCGAGTTTAATCCTCTCTGAACCTTCAACAGCTTTCCACTACATTCCAGCCACCCGCTGTAGGATTTCAGTGAGGTACAGTACAAAGAGAGCTTGATTATAATATAATCTCAGACTGTCTACTAAATCTATTTTATATGTGAGTATTTGTCTTTTCTTCTGAGCACCTTTACTCCATAAAGGTATGCATGAGTATCTGTTTTTCCCACAGCATGATCAGACATGCTTTCATTGTTTAGACATGCAGAGTGATCAAACTTCACGTCATTTCACTGTTCATCATGTTTGTGGTTGCTGATGTGTTTTGAAACTAGATTGGTGTGTTTCTTTTTTGTGCCTTTGGCTGAAAATGTGTCTCTCAGACTCAAAAAACTCTGGAAATGTGCCCCCCCTCCACACATACACCCCTTTCTTTCTTTTATTAGCACATCAGCTGCTGCCCCATGATCACGTATACACTCTGACCCTATAGAAAGCTAGGAGCAATCCCGGTGTATGTGCTGTTTCATATAGCAAACCGGTCTCTTTTTGCATGTTTATGTCTTTAAGTATCATATTACAGCTTTACAACTTTACTGAAATAAACTATTTCAACAAAAGATCCCACATCTGGGTTTGCAATGTGTAGATGAATTATAGTGAGGTGACAGACGTTTCTGCTTTTCAAAAGTCATACTGGCTTCAGAGGGGAAAAAAGCAACAGGAAATGGTAAGGTCTGCAGTTAAACATGGGACTCGGGACACAAATGCGGATATACAGTAGTGTCGTATTGCAAGCTCACTCTTGAACGTGACTGGGTGTTTTATATGTGGCTACTACATGTGCGTTTGTTGCTCAAGAATCAAAGAAAATGTGTTTAATTAAACAAGATCAAATAGTCAAAACAGCTTTCTTTAACAATCTATATTTCTTTAATAAATATGGTCCTTGTGACCAAACTTTAACTCATAGAAACTAACTTTGTTTTCCATTCGCAGTGGATTTTGTATTACGTCTGTAGAGTTTGTTTACTAAAAGAAAAAGGCTTTCTGTCATAATGCCCCATTTGACCAATAAGATCACTGCACTGGGGACATTTAATCTACAGGGAGTCACAGTGTGGCATTTATTTTCTCAATTAGACTTGACTCGAGTGGCCTGACTCTTGTTCCAGAAAATTGCTGCTATTTTTATTCGCAAGCACTGCAGAAAGCCAACTGAAAAGGTCATTTTACTCACAGACCTCAAAAGGATGATAAAACCAAAGCTTGGCTGCAGATAGAGGATATTATTCTATTAGTGATGGATTGTCTAGTTTCTAACCATAAGTAGTAAATTAGTTAAATTGCCTAAAAAATGTGGTCCATCGTTGGACAGTAAAGGGAAAATGTGTTTGTTTTTCTAAATTGTTTTACTACAAAAAAATATGAAAAGCAAGTTAATTTGTATTTAGGTAACGCTCTGCAGACCTTTTGCTACACTTGCCGCTCCATGAGTTGGGGTATGTGTCTAATAGCTTTGCTGTCTAGAGACAGACATTTCAGTTTATTTCTCTCACCTAATTACCTCAGGTTCAGTTGGACTAGAAGGAGAGCATCTTTGAATCTTCCCATAGATTCTGAAATGAATCTAGGCATGGACTGTGAGACCTAAATAAGCCTCTTGATTTACTGGATGGAGTCTTTCTTTTGTAGCCTCTAACAACTTTCTGTCCAGCATTGCCTTTTATTTAGCTTATTCCAGTCAGCTGTGACCACCTTCCCTGTCACTGCTGATGAGAAGCATTTTCACAACATGATACTGCCACCACCATGTTTTACAGTGGTGAAAGATGATGTGCAATGTTAGCTTTCCATCCCATAAAGCATTCTGCATGTAGGCCAAGATATTTTGTCTTGGCTGCAACAGAGGAAAAAACAGTTGATGGACAAGAAAGTGATACAGTACATCTAACACATCTGTTATTGCTCTTTACAGAAAAGTCAGATCTGGAAACAAGGGCTCCCAGAAATCTTCACATGACAGACACTGAGACCTGCTGACCTGATTTCACCCAGGCTGTTCCCTCTAATTCGCTCAGGAAGCTCAGTTTTATCAAACTCCGACTTATTCTTCATTGTGGAGACCCTAATCTCCCCTTATCTTGGGGGAAGCGGCTGAGTCAATGGCGTTGTGTCTTGGACAAGTGTTCAGCAAAGCCAAAACATTCAGGCCAAGGAAGCGCTTTGAGCCTGGCACTCAGCGCTTCGAACTCTACAAGAAGGCCCAGGCCTCTCTCAAGTCAGGCCTGGACCTGAAGAAGGTGGTCCAGCTGCCCGAGGGGGAGAACCTCAATGACTGGATTGCAGTTCACGTGGTGGATTTCTTTAACAGGATTAACCTGATCTACGGCACAGTCAGCGAATATTGCAGCGAGCGCACATGCCCTATCATGTCTGGGGGTCTGAAGTACGAGTACAGATGGCAGGATGGCGACGACTACAGGAAACCCACCAAGCTGCCTGCTATCAAGTATATGAACCTGCTGATGGACTGGATAGAGTCCCTCATCAACAATGAAGACATCTTCCCCACCAGAGTAGGTGTGTGTGAGAGCTTTAAAAATGAAGGCCATCATCGTTGTTTAAACTGAATAAGGACGGTGTGCTTTGTGGAGTGATAAATTAGTGTTTGGTTGTCGGCCTGCTCTGCAGCCTCATTACGCTTTCAGACAAGCACACACGGTTCAATATGAGGTTAATTAGAAAGTAATATTGGCATTTAGAAGAGAATAGATAATAGAGGCAATATTTTTTTTTTACAAGACAATTTAAATACTTTTCAAAATAATAACAGGGGAGGATTCCCTGCAAATAAATTGAGTAGACAGATAGATAGCCCAGCAAACGGATCCTCTTTATAACAATCTGGGGACTTGTTTGATATTGTTCTGCAAAGAAAGTGTGAAAATAATGGAAAAAACTCTTTAAAAGTCAACATATATTATTAGTATGTGAACATCTTGTTAGGTTTTCCATCACTCTGCTCCTCATTGACCAGAAGATAGAATCATTCGTAATTTTTATGAATAACGAGTTACTATTTGCACCAATACCTGTTTACACTTTTTGGGTTAATCTGGGTTAAGTACTTTTGTTAGGATATTTCTCATCAAGCCTAAGTCTTGTTTTAACTAGGGTAAAAATGAACATAAAATACAGGTGTGTAATCAGTGAAATTATTCTACTAGAACTTCTTTTTGTTGAAATAATGGACCTATATAATCCCAATGCATCTTGTTAAGTCCAACAGTTCATAATGTAAAAAAAAAGACACATTTGTCCTTGCAGTCAAAACAGCACAAATATGTACGACACTCAGCATAGAACAAAAGCAGATCAGGATGCTGTGCTTCATCAAAACAGGTTTAAAGGAAGGTGGTCCTATTTAACATCACTGAGACCTACCTGGTTACTCACAGCAGTAAAAGCAACTATAACTTTCATATATATATATATATATATAGTTCAATAACCACGCTGATAAACCTGTGTGTTCAAGCTTCAACTAAAACATATATTTCAAGCAGAAAAAACACAATATCAAACATAGCATCTGAGTTAGAGCCTTCAGTTGTGTGGATACGCCAATGAACAAACTTCAAAATAAAATACGATGTAGCATACTATTAAGAAAAATATATATATAAAAAAAATTAATAGATAAATAAATAATAATAATAAAAAAATATATATATATATATATATATATATATATATATATATATATATATATATATATATATATATATATATATATAATAAAAAAAATAAATAAAAAAAGAAACTGAGAAGACCATTTAAAAGTATATTTATTTGAATATTCATTTATTTGAATAGTCATTTATTTTATTACTTTTGAATTAGCTAATTGTTGCTTGAGGTTTTAGCGTATTCAACTGACAGCATTGGAAAGTTGAGATAAAGCGGGTTTACATTCCTAATATGAGTCTTTCACACTCATCTTTGACACAACCAGTATAAATATAAGTAATTATAACTATATATGAATGTATTCCTACCCTTTTATTTTTAACCTATTTTAAGGAGTCAGAATTGACAATTAGGGGTCGCACCATGATGGAAGTAAAATGAGACCTACATGCTTTCAATAAAGTAATCATTTTTTGTTTCCTGCTTCTTCCATTTAGGTGTGCCTTTTCCAAAGAACTTCCAGCAGGTGTGCAAGAAGATCCTGAGCCGTCTCTTCAGAGTCTTTGTGCACGTTTACATCCATCACTTTGACAGCATCTGCAGCATGGGTGCCGAGGCCCACATCAATACCTGCTACAAACACTACTACTACTTCATCTCAGAGTTCAGTCTCATTGATAACTCGGAGCTGGAACCACTGGTGAGCTGCAGTTTTAACACCAGTCTGTGTATTGTCGGGTTGCTATCTTGTAGCTGCCTATCATGTCTTTTGTGGATGGTAGGTGGAGTACAAAACAGAAAAGAATGAATATATGCCAGTAAAAACCCTGGATATGCTGCTGTGAGAGCAAAGGATGCACTCCACAAATCTATTTTCTAGAGGTGCATTTTGAAGGATAATAACAGGAAGTCAGGTCTGCACTTTTCTATAGCCATATAGGGGATGGTCAGAAGGCCAGAATTTAATTATTTTAGATCTTGGTGTAAAATTTAGCAAATTACAAGTAATGGCACAGACCATACAAAAGGGGAAACATCACAGAGGAGGCTTTATGATGCAGGAATAGATTCTTCCATCCTAACAAGAAGACTGGTAAATACTTATTATGGTAGAGGAAAGTACTTGATTCATGGTTGAAAAATTGTGATGAAATAACCAGTGCTTAAATCCAGACTTCGAATTTGTCAGGTTTGGTGGAAGTTAGTTGAGGACCCAAATGCAGAGATGAGGAGGCAAAGATGAGTTTTGGTGACAGAGGCAAAATCCAAGAACCGAAATACAGGAAACCAAAAACAAGAAGACATCAGGCGAAAACACACATTGGGAGCCAAGCAACAACAAGAGACCAGTAATGATTATCTGCAGAGGAGGTGTATATATGGGGGACAGAACAAAGAATGGGCTAATGAGCTGATATGGAGCAGGTGTGGACAGAAGTAACTAGAAGGGAGCTTTGGGAAAGGAGACAGGAACAAGGGGGCAACAGGGAGTAACTCAAAAAAAGCAAAAAAAAAAGGAAAAAGAATCAAAAAATAAAAAAAAGAGAAGGACGTAGGTTACTGAAAACTCAAAACGATACTCAGGTAGAGGTCCAAAAGGGGAGAACCATCACAGATTTTTAGAATTAAGGGGTGGGAATACTAATGCAAGTCACTTTGACACATCAACTGTGTTTTCCCCTTGACAACAATTTTCCATCCAGTTATTGATGGTAACGGAATGAGTGTTCTTTCGATTTGAGTTTCCATCTCCAAAGGGGACTCTGAGCTTCTTTGAAGCAGTTAGTTTGAAATATTATACCAACCCTTTGCAGTCATGTAATGAGAAAAGAATGCATCAATTATTTGCTTTTTCCAACAGAGACTTCTATCACTTTGGAACAGATGGAGTATAATGCTCCCCTTGCCAATGAAAGGTTCCAATTAGCATTGTTATGATGCCTAAATGGTGAAAATATCTGGGAAAAAAAAAAGAAATAAAGAAAGATGAGATAATTATATCAGCTTAAGCAGAAACAACGAATCACCAGTGCTGATTTTTTTTTTTTTTTTCAGTACTTTTATGCTTCCTCTTTACTGGTCTTTGAGGAACAAAAGCATGATTTTTGACACAAAGAAATTAGTTTCCTTTTGACACTCCTGTTAATTACTCTCAGTCTCGTTCATATATTTTATGAGCTAACCTGTCCCTTTTTTCCTTTGATTTTTTTTTGCAGAGAGAGATGACTGAGAGAATTTGCACTTAATGAGAAAAACATGGATATAGAAGTTTACATTATGACGTAATCTGAGCCCCAGGAGAGAACACCATCTGTAAAACATTCCAGACTTTGGACATTATCATGGATTTCAAAGCATGCTGTTGGAGGTCATTCAACTTTCCACTATCCTCTGGATGGTGGCGCTGTATCTTCTAAACTGCACACTTTTTGTGGTGCTACATCTTTATACTTCTCTGTGTCGGCCTCTGTGAAAATGCTGCTTTTTTTCTTTTCTTTTCTACTTGTATTTTATGTGATTTTGCTTCTTATCTGTTTTTATGTGCTGTGCCTAACATATAACGTTTTGGTTATAAATGGTTTTTCATTAAACTCATCACAAAATGTTTTTTTTTTTTGTTTGTTTTTGCAATATTAAAAAAGCAATTATCTCATTGAAAATTGCAGAACAAGAGCAAAGACATAAAGTTTAAAAGTTCCCTTGATGGACATAGATGGACATTGTATTTTACATTTATTTTTATGTTCATTTAATTTATGTAAGAGCAATTCACAACAAAACATTTAAAGAAGTTAATTCTATCATTTAGACAGGTTCCGATTGAGGTACACACATTCCATTATAAACATAAAAGTAGCAAAACAAAGCTGATACAGGAGCATTTACTGCATGTGAAAGAAAAATGAAGCTACTAGATTATTTAGTGGCTTAATCTAAAACAAAAATACAGCTGAGCATAAAAGCTCTGAGCCAGTTTCAGACTATTAGAGAGAGAGAGTGCATAGTTAGTTGCAGTGAAAGCTCAGCCAAATGCAGTGTATAGGAAAAAGAAAGATTAGCAGTTTTTGAGCTTTTCTGTTTTGGAAGAAGTGATTTGTTCGTTTTTTTAATAATACATAAATACCCTAAATATGTGATTTTTACACTCAAAGTTGTAATAGCATAAAATCTATTAACAGGCCATGCCTAAAAATTAAAATTAAAGAAAAGGGCAGAGAAATGTAAGTTGAAGTACTCCATGCATTATACTTAATATAGGTATTACTGATTTGTATGGAGGACTTCTCAATTTAACAATACTGAAGCATTTTAAGTATTTTTCTTAATTTAGGTGGTTTAGAAAAATTAAATTTTGCATTAAGGCAGTTTCTGTTTTTCTTCTATATAAACAGGTATGAAATAGCGGAAGACTCACAGTTCCATTGATTCACAAATAAAATTTATGACTTTAAATTAAAAAAAATATATAAACAATTTAGTAAGTTCACAAGAAATGCAAGTTTAAATAACACATTTTTCTTTAATCTAAAGGAGAATACGAGTTTTTAACGTTAAAACTTTTTTGTTTTGGTCTTCATTTAAAACCTGATGGAAAGGCTGGATTTCTTTTTTATTTTTTGTTAAACATTGAAATGAAAACCTACAAAAGCTTGCTCCTTGCAAAAAGGGATTTTGGTCTTCCTCCTGTATTACCATCATTCAGGGAATTTGTGCTAACCTAGCCCAACATGCTATCACCACCCACTCCTGTTTGGGTTCCACCAAAAGAAATGATTTTAACAATCAGGTATTCACCTGCGGGTAGTTGTTGTTGCTGCAGGTGTATCTTTTACCTATTTTATCTATTGTGTAAAAGACTGTAAAACGATTGTAAACGAACCAGGCAAACCATATTATGAATGTTGGGGTTGCCATGTGTTGTGTCCCATATTGAACCAATAGACATGATTTGTTCTGTATTGTTATACAGTTTGGACACGCGCCTGTATCAATAATAGAGCTAACAATAATTAACAAGATAAAACACTGTAAATATTAAATCCTGTAAAATTGTGGTGAAGCAATCTAAGCAGAACCTGATCAGCTCTGCCTAAGCTGCTGTCACTGTTGCCTAGAGATAGACCAACGCAACAGTGCTACTCTCTTTCACCTGAATTACACCGAAAAATCCCACACCCTCAGATGGAAACAACTGCAAAAATACAGACGTGAGCAGGAAGATGCAAGTCCTTAACTGAACGCCGTTAGTTTGATGATTACGAAGAAAATTATATGATGTCTTGGGCTGTCGGCAAGAGCTTACAGTGACACCCAGCAGTGGCACCCAGCAGGCTGTGCATGGCTCAGGACAGAAATGCTTAAAACACCTGCATCAGTCCTTTATCCTCCAACTGTTTCCTGAGACTAAAATGATGGGGAATATGATGATTATTGTGGTTCTACAAATTTGTACAATAATAACAATTAGACAATAACTAAGTTTTGTGCAAATGAAGGATTTTAATCCTTCATTGTGTTTTGTTTTGTTTTGTTGATGTTGGCACTGAACAAACACATGAACGAAAAACAAGGTTATTCATCTTTTGAAATATTAAGAGATCTGCATAATCAAGGAGCCGATTGTGGCTCCAGAGGAGAGTTAAAGCAGATAAAAAAGTAGGTGTGCCATAATTCCCTTAATTTTAGGAGATCAGTAGGTCTAACAATAAGCTATTATTAGTGCTCCAAACCTTTCATTTATATTTGAGACCATTATCTAGTGCAGTTAAAACAAGCTTTCGATTGTTTCACATGGATTGCTGTTTTTTTCCAGTAAGATAAGATGGACTAGATGGAAACATTATGCTTTATTTTGATGGTTATAAAAAAAAATATTGGTATGGGTCAAATTTGGAATTAGCATGTCAGGCTTTTTAAACATTGGTTACCCACCAAAAAAAGAAATTTGTGCAAACCTAAAATGAGGATCTGGTCTCAACATAACTGAAGCTAAAAGTGAAACACCTTAATTTTATGAGTGATTGCTGCAATAAATGTGTGAAGGTAAAAATATAAAACAGATTCGAGGAGCCTGGTGGATTCTGTCTAAATGCATATGTTAACAAGAAATTTATTTAATATTAAGTATTTAGTACAGGGACATTTACTGGGGCCAGAACCTACAGGGGCACTGGTGGATCCTGCTGGCCCCTTTAAATAACTGCCCATGTTTTGTCTGGAGTAGGAGCCCGAAACAGAAGCAGAAGCTGGAAGGGATCCAATAAAATCCTTTGAGCTGATTTCACAATCTGCTGGACGCATACCTGTTATAATACCTGTTGCTTGTTTTATTTATTTAGTGCAATGTGAGATTTCTAAGCCTCCATAGACAAGATGCAATAACATAGAATATTAATATTACCAGTAGAATTTTTTTAAATTACTATTAATTTCAGGCAATTACATGCATTGGAACACACAAGTCAATATCAGTTCATCAATTTAAACTTATGAGTCATAGTAACAAGTTACTCATTCATAGTTAACATATATATTTCTAGCTATTTTTGTTTTCTTTCTTTCTTTCTTTCTTTTTAAATGGCAACTAGAGCACAAAATTGTATGAGCAAAAGGAGTATGAAAAAAATTATAATAATTATGTTTTCGGTACTGAGAACAAATAAGCAAAATCACAATTGTGTTACCCGAGCAGATGATTAACTTTATAGTATCTTTTTGTTTTCTATCATATCTGCAATAATTAATACCCAGAGTGGTAATAGTTTACACAATATCAAAAATAGCAAAGAAACACACCAACAATGGTAATAGACAAACACCAGTAATAGTAAAAAGAACTAGAAGCACACATTGACATACACTAATATACATTTTAGACCCTCTCTGAACATACTGTGACCAAATCAACTGTTTGAATAAGATTTTAAATTTGTGAATATTTTTGCATTGTTTATGTTGTGAATGCAGACTTCTGAGTTTCATTCCACATGAAACTCTGGAGACAACTCAACACAGAAAAACTTTTCTGAGTTGTTCGTACTCTGGGTCATGTGAACTCACCATTATGACAGGCCGTATTGACATTTGTTAGAAACTCTATCCTCCCTATTGTTCCATTTCTGGACCTCTAAAATAAGATTCTTGCTTGTCAAAACTACATTCCTACTAGCTAGAAATGTACATATATATGTCCTAAATTACATTTTTCCTGGCAAAAAGTTTATTTCATATAATTTAACAAATATAATTGTACTAGTAAGAATAAACTTTAAAATACCTAGAAATCTTTACAAATTTTAAGTGGCCCTTTTGACATTTATTAGCTTGAGTGAATATATATTTCAGATTTATTTTTGATATCTGAAATAGTAATTTTGCCTAGCAGTTGCTCTATTATGCAGTTAATCCTAGTCACAATTCATTTTAGATTAGAAGAATGTTTTTTTTAGATAGGAAGAATGTTACTGTAGATATCTGGAAGTAAAAGCCCAAAACACATGAATGGGAAACATGAGGTCATTTGTACTAGTAAAAATTACATTTCAGATATCTGAAATGTAATTTTTAGATAGGAAGAATGTTATTTTAGATATCTGAAATGTTCATTTTGACTAGAAAGAAATGCATTTGAAACACCTGGAATCAAGCTTAAAAAAAAAAAAAAAAATAGCGTGCCATATCACCATGGCCTCTCAAATTTTGAGCTCTCTCTCGAACTTCAAATTAGTTTTATAAATTTGCTGGCAGCTTTTTGTTAAATGCTATGTATGGGATACTTAGTATAATATTTGACAAGATCTCCAATTTCGAGCAACTTTGACTGAAGAATCGCTATCAGCAATAGTAAGCGATGTTATTTAAAAAGTAATGATCATGATAACGACATAGGCATGGCTTGAGCCATTCTTCCACTTGGTGCTGAACTGTCAACGTAGTGAAAGGCCAACATTAGACTCTATGGCAAATATAAACCAACGTCAGGCACTACAATTTCCCTCTACGTGGATTGAGGCGTGGAGCCACTCATTCACGTAACGAAAGCCACCTTATTCTTCACCAATAGAAAAGCTGAAATACCAATAGGGCGGGGTTAAGGCAGGTTATGTATGGCAATCCGTTTAAACGAAATTTCGGTTGTACTGCCTTTACATTCAAGATTTCTCAAATTGTTTTATGACAAGACGTTTTTAGCGATTTAAGTTATGTCTAATTATATTTTGAATAGTCAAAATCCCTATTCGAGATATCTCTAATTATATTCTAGTCGAAATGACATCAGATTGACCATTAACTTGTATGGATACGTCAATTTAAGATATCTAGAATGAATTACTGACTATCTGAAATACACATTTCATATATCTACAATTAAACTAAGACTAGTCATAAAGTATTTTCAAGAGATATATATATATATATAGTTTTGACTAGTCAAACTAAAATGGTCAGACCAAACTGAATTATTTTAAAACAGCTTGCCATTGTTACGTGTTTTCGCGCCCTTTACGTCACCAGCTGGGTGAATGATTTCAGTTAGCAATGGAGGCTTACATCAGCTGGTGGCGGAGCTTTTGACAGGAAGGATTTGGCTGCTCTGGGGTCCAGGTGAGACTGTTTATTTTTTTGCATTTATGGCGTACTTCAACCCTTCTCTGGCCAGCGTCTGGATGCTATCGAACTAATAGGTATGAATAGCTAGAAGAAGTTAGCCTAGCCAGTTAGCAAGCTTTAGCTCCACTGGCTAGCTAGTAGTGATAAAAACAAAACAATGGGCTGGGTTCTACAAACAGGACAGTGTATTCCCGATTTCGATAGAAAATATTACATTTTTAAGGTAACCAGGTTGTCACTTGTAATAAAATACAACCATCACCACTTAAAAAGAAATATTAATTTATTTGTATTAACCTTAAGATGGTAAATATTTCTGCATATGTACTTTGCTAACTATCTGGGTCTAATTAACCTCTCATTGCTTAAAACAAAATTGAAAAAGACACTCAGGAATTTCTGTAGAAGCTACACGATTATATAATCCGTGGAATTTAGGTTTCTCTGTAATATTCTTCTAACTTCCTCCACATTCCTTACATGCACTAACCTGTTATTACATATTACTGGATCTGTGTCTGTGCGTCTGACTGAATGTGTTTGTAATTGTTCAGATAGCAGATATGGTGAGGCACAGCACCATGTCGGAACTGCAAACCATCCAGCACCCTCAGGTTTGAGCTGCTCTTATCTTTTATTATCTCTGATTGCACTTCCTGTAAATGTGTTTCATCATGTTGAGCTGACTGGAAGTATTTCTCACTCTGATTTGGTTTGTCTGATCCAGTAAAAAAAGTATTAATTCGCTCTAAACGTTGGTGTGAATATTTTTGGTTTATGATAAGACTATTTTTTTTTCATCAGGCTAGAATTGTGTCCACAAATAGGTAGAAATACACTTGTAAATTTGTTTGTGTTTTTTAAGAATAGTCAATTACTGCTCATGCAAACAAGCAAAACATGTTTAAATTATTAAGCATGAGTGGAAATGTTTTTTGATTGTATTTTCCTGTTGATCACCACCTGATCTCTTTGTGGGCTCTCGGTCTTTCCCTTCCAACCCTCCCTGCCCGTCCTGTGTGGCCTGCTTCTCTCTGATACAGGGTAACCCCCTGGCCGCGGGCCAAGTAGGACAGAACTGTACGAGAATCCAGGACAATGGGAACGACACAGAAGAACCCCAGGCCCTCTCGCTAGGTCCAGCAGGTATACAGCACTTATTATACCTGTAGCAAGGCTGTCCATATTAAAATGATTAAAATACTGTTTTGTTTTGTTTTTTTTCTTTGGTTTTTGCACACATATTCTTCAGAGATTGAAAAAAGTCAGCCAGTAAACATCCCAGATTTTGTTAAGAGGAAAAAGAAGAAACGGACCAGAGCAACAGACAGCTTCACAGGCACCTTCCATGGTAAGGAAGCTGGAATTTTAATGGAAAACAGTTGATATTTGCCAAACACAGGCAGTATCTTCCAACAATAGTTTTACGGCTCACTTTCTCTCACACAGATCTCTACAAGCTGACCGATGAGGTACTAGGCCAGGGGGCATATGCTAAAGTTCAAGGATGTATCAGCCTACAAAATGAAAAGGAGTTTGCTGTGAAAGTAAGTAATGCTTTTTCTTAGACTGGTGAGAAAGCTTTTTTTTTTTTTTTTTTTTTTTTAGTACACTTAAGCATGTTTTATGTGATGTGTTGCAGATCATAGAAAAGGCTGCAGGGCACAGCCGCAGCAGAGTATTTAGAGAAGTGGAGACTTTATATCAGTGTCAAGGAAACAAGTGAGCGTCATCTGTTTATTGTATCATTAAAATAAAACCGGTTTTTAATGTGAATGGTTCTAATTTGCGTTAAATACATTTGTTTAGGAACATTCTGGAACTGATCCAGTTCTTTGAAGATAGCTCCTACTTCTATCTGGTGTTTGAAAAGCTGCGCGGAGGTGAGTATAAATACTTTATAAAAGTACTTTATAAAACTATTTATACCCTGATTACAACTAGAAAATGCATTGTGTTGTATTAAAGCGTTACATGTTGAGCCAGAAACAACACAGCTGAAACTTGCGATGACTTGACAAACGGCACAAACAGCACGCAGAAACATTGTCCAGCTCGTGAAGTAAAACACTGAAAAAAGAGAGCACAGGTTGCGGTGCAGAAGTTTTCAGAGTTGAGCGCGAGCCACAGAAATCCAAACGTCCCCATAACCGTTCTGAATATGAGAAGAATGCGAAACGGAACAGGAAAATGACAGAACATGCCCACTCCGTGTTTGAAAAGGCAAAACGGTTTCCTGGTGTTTCTGCTAAAGTAAAGGGCATAACCAAAAAATGTCAGTGGTAAATAAATATTATAGTACTTTTGTTATTGAATAATTTATTAAACTGCCTCGAGTGGAAAAAAAAAAGTCTTTATTTATTTATTTTTTATTAATAGGCTTAGTACACATCATAGCCAAAATGCTATGACTTTAATATTTCACATGATATTTTGTTTCAGTTTTCAGCCTTGGTTTCCTGATTTAATGCTTTCAGTTTCGGCCAAGAATTTTCGATTCAGTGCATCCCTACTTTTAATGCCTTTAATAGGTTTTCTTCCACAACTGGCTCCACTTGACATGCTCTAAACTGCAAAAAAAAAAAAAATGAAACATTGTCTTTTTTCTTAAAAAAAGTGCATTTTTTTTATTGAATTGAGGAGGCAATTCAGGAGGCAATTGAGGAGACAAATTACATTTAAAATAAGAAAAAACAAATGCATTGTCTTATTTCATGTGCATTTTATCTAATTATATTCATTTCAGAGGAAAAAAATACTCATTCGACTGGCAAATAATCTTATTTACCTGCTCAAATCAAGGCTAAATACACTTAATTTAAGAAATTTTACTTATTTCTAGATCGTTTTTGCTGTGTAATCTAACATGCTCCCAAAACCTCTTTTCAGAACAGCTCTATTTATACTGAGAACATAGGTAGACTCTATAATCCATTACTTTCCTTTAGTGGTTTAAGGGTAAAAGGAACTTAATATGAAAATGTTACATACTTCTCCGATTTTTGAATTTGTAAACGATGTAAAAAAATTGATCCTGTTAAAAATGAGAGTAAATACTTTTACAAGGTGCTTTAAACAGAGATGCAAGTAATCCTGATGTGTTCCTGCAGGCTCCATTCTTACACACATCCAGAGCCAAAAGCACTTTAATGAACTGGAGGCCAGCAAGGTAGTCAGGGACATCGCCATAGCTTTGGACTTTCTACACACAAAGGGTACGCTTATTTCCAACTAACATACCAAAGTCTAATATTAAAAAGGTGAGAATATTTTTTGGCTGATGTTGTTTCTTAGGCATTGCCCATAGAGACCTCAAGCTGGAAAACATCCTCTGTGAATACACCGACCGGGTGAGTTTATTTTGTTTTTAAAAAGACAGTTATCCCTGTAGATGTCTGTTACGGCTGTAATAAATGCGTCTTTCACCCTCCTGTTGTCTCTCAGGTGTCGCCAGTAAAAATCTGCGACTTTGATCTGGGGAGTGGAGTGAAGCTCAGCAGTGCCTGCACTCCCATAACTACGCCAGAGCTCACCACACCAGTACGGCTCCATAATATTTTTACTCTAAACTCTGATTAAAACACCAGAGAGACTTTTTAACATGTACCTTTCTCATTGTTAGTGTGGCTCGGCTGAGTATATGGCTCCAGAAGTAGTGGAGGCGTTCACGGATGAAGACTCCTTCTACGACAAGCGCTGTGACCTTTGGAGCCTTGGGGTCATCCTCTACATCCTGCTGAGTGGAAGCCCCCCCTTCACGGGTCACTGTGGCACTGACTGTGGCTGGGACCGTGGAGAAGCATGCAGAGCGTGCCAGGTATGCTTCCCTTTACACATCCCGTCTGTGCATTCTTACTTCAGTGTTCCAGCTCCATACAGGGTAATTCATTTCCCTTTGATACCACTCTGAACTTCCTACAGTAAATAGGTGGTTTATTTTATTTAATACCCACTGTATTTCATTAGGAGTGAAAGACCAACACAATGTACATTGTAACTAATAATGGAAAAGAAAAGGACATAAATATCTGGAGAGGTGAAAAATCAAAAGGCTACAACTGTAAAGCGACCACCATTGGTGTAAAGTAAAAGGACTTTATAGAAGAATAAGAAGAAGCTATCATTGAACAAAGAGCTCCCATTTTTAGACGTGCATTAGATACACAGCCAGAGCTGATGGACCAGTTTAGGTTAAAGCTTACTCTTTTGTTAGAATAGCCCAGCCAAAGCCCACGGATAAATCTGCTTGGGAATCCTTTGAAACACTAAGTGCTTTTGTCAGATGCTATCCTTTCTGATTGGTGAGCTATAAGAAGAAATGAAAACAATTCTTTTTTGTTCTTCCCTTTTTTCTATTCAACACAATTAACTGTTATTTAAATGCTGAAAAAGAAAAGATGTATAAAAAAAATGCAAGGTTTAATTTTTAACTCATCATTTTCCAAACATTTTCTTCTAGTGGTGATGAATTTCAGTAACTAAAATGGGAGAAATTGTATAGATATTAGATCAAATTATTTCAGCTTTAACTGTTTCATATTAAACTCCCCTTTACTATCAAAACTTGAAATTGAAGGTGGTACGTGTACGACTAAAATGTCATCTGATTCTCTTAAAATGAGCACTAATTGTTCTGTTTTCCTCAGAGCCATCTGTTTGAGAGCATCCAGGAGGGCAAGTACGAGTTTCCAGACAAGGACTGGGCACACATCACAGAAGAAGCCAAGGATCTCATATCCAAGCTGCTGGTTCGGGACTCCACTCTGCGCCTCAGTGCTGCTCAGGTGTTACAGCATCCTTGGGTCCAAGGGGTCAGTATTATTTATGTTTATGTACCTTTAGCACGTTTTGATTGAATGTCAGTAAATTTCTCTCTTCTTTCTATAACAGAATGCACCAGAGAGAGGTCTTCCAACTCCTCGTGTTCTACAGAGGTTTGCTTTACAAGTCATTTGTTACTAGTTTACCACGATTTCAAACAAAGCTATTGCATTTTTATTGTATTTTTATTTATGTATAATTTTTTATTTATTTAGAAACAGCAGCACTAAAGACCTAACCCAGTTTGCAGCAGAAGCCATTGCCTTTAACCGGCAGCTGTCCCAGCATGATGAGCAGCAGGAGGATTCAGGGGCCATCGTCTGCTCCATGAGGCTGTCCCCTCCTTCAAAGTCAAGACTGGCCCGCAGACGAGCCCAGTCCAATGCTATGCGCAGCGGTGACTTCGCTCCTGGTTCTGATGACCTCGCAGCCTGAAACACCAGCATGAACATCCTCCTTGTTCACCTTTCTAACCTATTTGAGTTTTTTTGGCTCTTTTTTTAACAGGAATCTTATAGAAATGCCGACCTGGCATTAGGTGGAAACTTGTGTGGACTTAGTTTTACCTTTTCAAAAAAACTTTTTTTTTTTTTACTTTACAGATTTATTTATTGGTAATTATTAGCTGAAACGGATAAAACAAACCTCTATCAGTGCCAGCAGGTAATATTCTAGTACATATCAAGAACAGAATTTTAGATGTGCACTTTTTTTAATGTCTTCATCCAAAAAAATTTTATTTTGGGAGATTTTATTATTTCTTGTTGTTTTGTTGTTGTTGTTAATTGTTAAAAGCTGCCGTAACTGGATGATGTTTTTCTAGGCACACACAGACGGATGTTTTTGGATGTTGATGGGTGTTTGTATTTAAATATGAAGGATCTAGATGGATGATTGTTGGAGTTTACAGCACCTTTCCTTTATATTACCTGCTAAAGTCATAATGTGTTATTGTATTACAGCATGGGTGCTAAATTCAGGTGCAAAAATTAAGAGGCTTTTCTCTGCAACACAAGCTACCTGGAGCACTTTACGTACTTTAAAATCAGCCAGTTTTAAATAAATGGAAAAGAAGCCCATCTGTGCCATTTTAAAGAAAAAAACATCCCGAGAATCTATGAGTTAAAGTTGTTATGAAGAGGTAACATTTTATTTTTAATGGATAGTTATTAGATAAGAAGTTCTGCTTATAATTAATCACATTATTTATAAATTTACAGTTGGGATTAGATATATCTTAAGTCAAATATGAATTGAATTTGAGTAATTTGGCTCTTTTAATGCTGTCCTATTTTTACTTCAATTATCTTCATTAGTATTAAATTTATTATTTTTATTATTACTACAACCCAAAATGCAATGTACAGTTATGTATGAAACACCCTACCTCATAACTCTTTATCATAACTTATTCCATTAACCACTTTATTACTAACTTTAGAAAAAAGCCTCACTTTTCATAAATGTGAAATCCATCATTTTTATTTTAGAATTCATACATGCAGGTGAACAAGACATCTTCTGTGATATATTTTTTCTTTAAGGTTGTAGAAATGGGCTTCCATGGTGTAATGGAAATATACATAAAGCATTTATTTAAAATATTCAAGAAATGACAAAATACTTCCATTATTATTTATTTCTTTTCAAGTGTAACTCCATAACAGAGAATGATCCTTATCATTTTCTCCTTGTCTTATAGTGTTTTCATTTTGTTAACGTCAGCTGTGATCTTTGCTTTTAAAATAGTCAAAGGGATTTATTTTCATGTTACATTTAATATTATAAAAGAATAATCTATAATGAAACAAAGGGATTTATTTTTATGAGTATTTTAAGATTTCTATCTGAGTTAATGTGAACATTGAAAAGGGGATGGAGAAAGTTGAGGTTTGTTTCTTAAATCTATCGTTATTTTTGCTTAACTTGTTTTTTATTTCACAAGAGCATATCTGATTTTCAGTGTCCAGCAAAACTTCTTTTAACCCCTTGAGTTGATGTGGTACCTCGCACTGTTGCCATGGTCACCCCATCTCTTTAGCAACTGAGAGATTTCATTGTCAAGCTGAAATTGAGAGAGATTTGCTCAGAGGCAACATCAGGAAACGATTAGTTGCCATGTTAAAACCCTCGCTCTTTTTTTCTTTTTTTTATGAATCATAAAAAGAAACTGTCCCCCCCACCCCACCCCACATATCGACTTGTAAAGGCATCAAATGAGATGTGGTAATGGGTACACAATTAAGAAGCCCTGCAGAGCTTTAAAGTGGAACCTGATTTACAAAGCTCTCGTGCTCAGAGTACATTTCCATTGGGATGCTGTGTTCTCAATAAAAATGTTGAAATATTATCTTCTAATTGGTGTTGGCTCATTTTGTACATTTGTCTCAGCTGCTCTGATTTGAAAGAGTTCGTCAATAATATTTTATTTTCAAAGACTCTTTTGTTCTAAGTGAAGGCCAGAATCAGTAGGAGGGAATAAAAGAAGTGTTTACTTTGTGCAAAACAGAAACATTGTTTGGATTTATACCAAAGCTGCTAAAGAAAAGCACAATTTAAGTTTGTATACAGCAACCCTTATCTTTTCATTGCAAAAACCACCATCTTACAATGATTAAATTTCATATTTGATAAAGCGGTGATATCAAAGACCTGCCATCCTTTAATGATTCATGTTTTATAAAAGCATTTTTTTCTCATTAAAAGGGAAAAAGATGTTTGGATATTGGAGAGGTTGTTCTACTCGCTCTGCAGCGCCCCTAGCGGTGAAGGTTAAACATTGCAGCAGCTCAACCTGCTGGAGGGAAACATCACTTTCATCCTGCAGCTGCTGTGCAACAGGATGCAGAGACAAAGCGCTGCGAGACTCACAGCAGGATTACTGGTTTTATCAGAGGTAACAAAGAATATTTTGTTATAATGCTTCTACTATCAAATGTTGGGTATTTGATTTATTATTATTATATTTTTTCCTGCAGAATCAGACCTGTGTGCCTTTAAATTCATTTCAAACATTCTTTAAAAATGCCAAAGCTAATTAAATGTTTTTAAGAGTTGGTTTTGATGCTGATAAGGATCTTCTGTAACTGTCTGTCTTATACTGGGTCTCAGGAAGCCTCTGACACTCTGCTGTTGAATGATGCTTACTGTTTTTTTTTTGTTTGTTTTTTTTTCTTCAAGCTGTTTAAACTTGATGGCAAATTGAGCAAAAAAAAAAAAAGAAAAGTAATATTAGAAATGCATAAAAGTTTCCTGAAGCTTCTCTAATAAAATTCTCTATCTGTAGTGATGGAGTGTCCCATCTGATCCAATCAAGACATGGTGTTATCAGATAAAAACTTAGGATCATCTGCTCCCAGCAAGATCCCAGAGCGGTGCAGCCTGCGGCATCAGAGCCTACCCTCCCCGGCCATGTGCTGCGCCTGCGGCCTGTGCATCATGCTGGCTGGCATCAACATCACCCTTGTGGGAGCTTTTGCTTTTGGCACCTTCAGCCTTACAGCCAACCCTCCCATCATCATCGGGCCTCTCTTCTTACTGTTGGCTGTGGCTTTCTTCACAGCCTGCTGCGTGGTCAGCAGGAGGCCACCCTCCCACGTGGCTCGAAGGGCCCACCGAGGGGAGAATTGGGGGCTGATTAGGATGGGAACTGCAACTTTCGAGATGGAGATGAGTGAACATACCCTCCAGGACACCACCGCCATCCAGCTCAGCCCTACAAACTCCCCCAGCTCTTCTCACAAGTCCATGTCGAACCAGGGGGACGGCACTGGGCTGAGCTTATGTCGGGATGAGACCAGGGAGCTGCAGATCTCAGAGATGAGTGACATGAGGGCTGCTGGAGATAAAACAAGTCTGACCACTGAAAGCAAAGAGATCTCTTCCACACAGGCGTTACCTGTTCAGGACATGTCCTCCTCCACGTAGCATGTACCTGTATCTACCCGACTGATGGATGCAACTAAGAGGACACAGTTGGATCATCTACAGTATCTGCAAAACAAAGGAAAAAAAGACACTGGATAGTGTATTAGTCCAAGGCCCAAATCAGAAATAGGAAAACCCAATAGATACTCAAATTAAAGTCCATCCTAGTCAAAGCAGTTTCAGATTTCTTTAAAATCACACTAGCTGAATTTAACACTGACAAATTCTGCTTTTGAAATTCAGCCTTCATCATATAGTAGTTTTAAATCCAAAGGAGGGATTAAAGAGATATCATTGTTCATGCAGCAACATATTTGTTTCTAACCTTCATCTGATTTTTTTTTTTCTAAATAAGTAAATTTATAGTGAAAATAGTAAATTCTTTTTTTCACGTATTCTATTAATATATGGAAAACATTTTTCTCAGGCTTTAAATTTGTGATTCCTGGTCAGAGCCAACGAAGCATCCCTGATGTATGTTTGAGTTTCTTAAATGCTTACGTGTTTTCTTCTCTTTCATGTCATGCTATTGTGTGTTTTTGTTCAAGGCTACCACGCTGTAGCTTGAAACACGGTGCAGCTCCTGTGATTGCTTATTCTATTACAGGATATTGTCACGTTTATTGCTGTGCTTTAAGATACACCTTATCACTCTTCCAACAGAAAGAGAATCTTAACCTTTGTTTTGCTTTTGTTTTTCCTGCCTGGTTTAAATGTGCTTCAATACTTCTTATTTGTCTCCAGTAGGTTTACTGCTGTTTGTGATGCTGCACTGTATATAAGGATGGAGAATAATGTGTGACCATCTGAGCGCCATTGAGATAAACGTTGCTCTGTAATCTTTACTGATACCGTTAACTAAAACTTCACATGATAATACAGAGTTTCTCTTACCGTTCCACATTACATCTTGTATAAGGTGATATAACCTTCAAACTGTGTAAACCTGATAATAGTCCATTTATACTATTTATATGTCATGTGAATATGAAAAATAAAAAAGAACACATTCTCAGTGTCTGGAACCTTAATAAGATCCCTGCTGTGGGTGCATCAATGTTTTTTTATAGACATGAAGCCATAAAAATGGTCAGTTTACATAAAACTGCAGGTTGTGTGGATAAACTCATTTGTTATCTGAGAAACACCAGCAGCAACCGTGCAAACATTTCCCTCTTAACATGTTGCCCATCACTTGGCATCGAGCCCGACAGCTGCGGGCAACAACAGGAGCGCCATGTTTACTCATCATTATACACATGCTGTCCCCAAACACAGGAGGCCAAACTCTGTGATCCCTTGAGACAGGGCTTCCTGCTGTTTTTTGAGTCTTTTAGTTTCCTTGTGAATGAGGACTCAGAAATAAAGTTTGTAGTGTTTGCAGGGAGAGGATGACATGTCTTGGCAACCTGAGGTGAGAGATGAGGTCGTGCTGCTCTGAGAGGTGGCACATTGGGGTTTATTTAATGGAGGAATTACTTTGAATTACGCTGATTATCCAGCTGACTTCAAGCTAAATATACAGGTGTATTTCAGTAAATATGAATATTAGCCAAAATGCATATATTTTAGGACTTCAGTTTTTTTTTCCAAGACAAAAAAAAGATTTATTTTTTTTTAGCAGAAGTTTGTGTCATGGAGGTGATCAGCCTCTCACTGCTGAGGAGTTAAAAAAGCTCATAATGCTTTGATAGCAGCTTTCACTGTACTTGTACTTTAATTCAACAATAATGATAAATAAATAATTGAACTTTATCGATTTAACAGTGGAGAAATTTACCTCTGCATTTAACCCATTCCCTTGGGAAGCAGCGGGCTGCCATCGTGGGGCGCCTGGGGAGCAGTGTGGGGTTAAGGGTCTTACTCAGGGACCCAGAGTTGCACCCCTGAGTGGATTTCAAGCTCTATGCCCTAACCAGAAGTCTGTTACTCCCCCTTTAGAACATTTAGTTCTGATGTCTGTCATGTTCCTCTTAACAATATTGTATAGATTCCCATTGTTTAGGTGGGGCCCTGCCATTCAGAGTAATACCATGATCATAGAATTAAACTAAATCAAACATCTTTGTTTGAAATTCTTCCTAAAACATTTAATTTGCAGTCAATAACACATGAAGCTCCACAATACTTCATTTTGACCTGCTTTTCCTTCCACCAAACTTTCCATCTTTTTCCTGAGATGTAGCAACATGTAAACTGCCAACTTCTCTAGCAGTGACCTTATATTCCTTAAAGGGTGTGCAAAAATCAAAATCGCATTTGAAGAAAGCTCTTTTTAAAAGTGAGACTAATAGTTTGTTGACTGTTCTTATAATGTTTGAGAGGTTTAAACAACATGAGAGTGCAAATTGGTAAGCATCATCAGCTGATGATGCTTACTTTTACATCATTAGTGCTAACGTATTGAGGAAAGTACTCTTCTCAGTATCAATAATATTTTTTTAACAAATCAGAAAAGTGATTTTACATTAAAAAATTAACAAAAACAAATGTATATATTCTATTTCAGGTTAAAAAAAGATATTTAAAAACATTCCCAGCAGTGTCCTGCTGATATATGAACAACATATAAAACTGTTGTGATTTATGTAACTCTTTTGTTTTAAGTGATCCTTTTCCATAAAGTGAATACATGTGCATGTAACAGTAATCAGGCTGTTGCAAATCTGAATAGACATATGCAACAGGAGCCTGGTAATTCAAAGATGCTGTCACAGAGGTTATTTTTTCTATTATAGCAGCCTCCATTAGAGAGAGAAAGTTATTAAGCAAGCAAAAATGAACTATATCCACATGCATCAGATAAAAGAGGACCGTTATCAGATTATCCATAGACAAAATGTCCTGAAAGATTTAGTTTTACTGGCATTATGTGCATAATTTGAACTGGAATGACTGGCTAAAAAGCTTAAACACTTAATTTATCTTATTATTCGTTTTTTTTAAAAATACATATTTGTGGACATAGGAAGTTCTTTATCTGTATACTTAAAAGCGCTGCTTTGATTCTTTGGTTGCAATACTTTGTGTCGACACTAGAGAGCAGTGTCATTCTTCAGGTTTTAATAGGAGTAAAGTTGGTTTTGCTTTTTTCTACGTTTGTTTTACGTGTGAAACAAATAAATGCCCAGAAAATAAAAAAAGAAAACAAAACAAAAAAAAAAAACTGGGTAAATCTTTCAGTTTGAAATGCAAATAAAATTTTAGAACGTGCTCAGCTAAAATATGGTTGAGACGCCCAGTTTGATGATTTAACTTTAAGGTTTAATTTCTTTTTTTAAATTATTTTTATTA